AAATTATAACCATAGCACCTGCTTAGTAATTAAGTCAAAATGTAAAGTAAGTAACTGAAATTAATTAAAACCCATGAAGGACAAAATATTGTTATGTCTACCTGAAATAATTTTATCAAATTGTTAATAGTTTTAATTTTGACAGGCATTACTTTTTTTCTATCAAGGACAACAGGTCAAATAATATATTTCTTTTCAGAATTTTGAATATAGTAATTGGTTTCTACAAAAGAATCTTTCTTCTCTACATCACAAGTACTAACAATTAGCAGTATACAATTTCTTCTTAAGCTTACTAAGAAAAACAATCTGATATCTCCCACTATAGACTTGTTTGATTTCTCTAATATATAATGATACTGTAGTTTTACATAAAAACAGATTGAGAAATTTTTTCATTTACATTATATTTCTGAAATGTAATATTTTCATGAATGTACATTGTTATTGTTATACACATTTTACAATAAATATTACAAACAGTTTTAAAAGCTTGTGCATTATTTTTTTTCAATATTCCCTCATTGATTTTTAAGGATTATGATGGGATAAATCCTTTGCGCATTTTAATATATGGTACAAAAGTGGGACGATTCAGCATATCCATCCATAGCTAGTATTCGGAATCATGACTAGGATTGATCTGAACTGGAGTTCACTCTTTTCTCTTTCACTCATTAAAATGGGGGATAGTTCATTTACACTCCTTTTGGTAAAATATATACCAAACCTTTCACCATTTTGATAGCTTTCTTTATGCTTTTGGTCCATTTTAGCAGCATCTGCCCTATTGGTTCATGTTAAAGCTGTGATCAACAATGACATCCATAACTATTCACATGTTCCATTGTAAAGACCAGTTGCCGTCATCCTATATTTGTGCTTTATGCTTTCCTACCCAGCTGCAGGACTTTATATTTTTCCCAGTTAAGTTCCATCCCATTCCTTTTCAGCCCAGTGCTCAGACCTATCTAACATTTAAAAAAAATTTTTTTAAACAAAGGCAATAGCCACCCTTCCCAGTTTTATGTTACCTACAACTGTATAACTGCCCCTCACCTCCACCAACCAACTCTTTGATAAAAAAATGTTGAAAGGCATAGGGCTCCAGAAGGTTGACAATTAACCTGATACTTTCCTCCAATCAGAAATGAAACCATTCACGAACACTCTTGGAGCATGTAGCATGTAGCATGCCTATCCAGCGGATCATCTGCTCAAAAGTTAATCACTAATTATTGCAGATTAATTATGTTTGTAGTCTTTTTAAAGATTTTCCTATTCTAAAAGTTATAACTTTAAAATGTCTTTCATCGACTTTTAATCTCTAAAGAAGTATAATATATTGATACATTTCGAGAGTTCAAAATCTCATTGTTTTAAAACATGTTAGTAGCCCTAATAAAATATTGCTCAAATGATATTTTTGTAAATAAAGCTTTAATATGGCAATAATTTTTTAATACAAATCAGTATATAAATTCAGGCTAGATAATTTAGTCTCTTCCAACAATGATAACTGCCACTCCCATAATCTTCATCTTAGCTGTTGTGCCAATGGATCTCTTCTTTTGATATGCACCATTATATAATTATAAATCACTTATTTAAGCTCTTCCAACTATGAGAGGTGGGTCCTTTTAATACATGATTCAAAATTCTAACCTCTGGGCCTCTCTAAATAAAAATAGAGTAGTTTTAGAAACGGTCAAGGAGTGCAGAGTTATATTTAATATAATTAAACTAGTAAGGATCATTTATACATTCTAATAAGTATGAATATGTATACTCCAAATAACCACAAAATATTTTTTTTTCTCCTTTGTATTATTGGTGTTCTGGACTAGCAGGCTCGAAAGCCTGCAACTCTGATTGGCCCGTGAATAGCCGATCGTGATTGGTCGCCATAGACTGATGCGATTGGCCAGTAAACGGGCTGCCAAGAGCGGCAAACTCAAATCGCCTTCATTGGCTGCCTAGCCGCAGCCAGCCCTATATAAGGGGCTGGGGTAGTTTGCTCAGATCTGAAGTCACTAATAAAGAGCTGTTGTTGCTATCTGAGTCTTGCCTCCATTCTTGAACCATCCTCCCAGATCTAACACTGGCGACGAGGATGGGATGCGGAGGCAACGAACTCTATTGATTTGAACTAGCTGAAGGAGCACGTGGCTGACAGAGCGCAACGATGGCGACATGGCCAGCAGCGCTATACCACCGGCCCCATACGATCCAGCTAGCGAGGACTGGGACTCATATATGGACAGATTTCAAATGTTCCTGGAGTCCAACAACCTCAAAAATGCCACGCCCAGCAAGAAACGAGCCGTTTTTCTAACCCATTATAGGCCAGCCGTTTTTAAGATGGCTAAAGCCTTAGCGAAGCCAGCTGAGGTTAAAACCATGGATTGGGACACCCTTGCTCCCATCCTGCACAACCATTATGCCCCAGCCGTGCCAACTCTCATTCACAGACACGAGTTCTACCAGAGGGACCAGCATGAAGGTGAGAGCGTTGGGGATTTTTTGGCAGACCTGAGGAACCTGGGCGGTTTATGTGGCTTCGCCAATCTCGAAGAAGCCATGAGAGACCGCATCGTCCTTGGCCTCAGAGACCCAACTGTCCAGAGCAAGATCATGGCCAAGGGAGACATCTCGCTTACAGATGCCATAGCAGATGCCACCACAGCTGAAGCCACTTGTAAATCAGCAGCACGAATGCGTCGAACCAGCGGAACCAACCACCAACCCACCAACGATGCTGGGAAACCTCCAGATAAGTACACATCAACCACCCATCATGAAGATGTCGAGTCATCCTCAGACAGCAAGGAGGAAGAAGTCCACAGACTCTGGTCAGAATGTGAGCAACGGGACCAGCGGGGTCGTAAATCCAACTACCAATGCGCCGGATGTGGGAGAAACCATCCTCGATCCGAATGCAGATTTTTAGATGCCATGTGTCGTTTTTGCGAGAAACGAGGGCACATCACGAAGGTATGCAGAAACAAGAGAAATTCCAGCCCCAGACGGAGAGGGAGCAGCCCAAAGAGGAATGATGGCAACTCCACCACACAGAGGGACCGCCCTAGCAACCAGTGGAACCAGTACAGGAGACCCCAAAGGTTTAACGGCACACCCAGACGAGAGGAGACTCATCATCATCGGCCACGCTTCATCACTTGACACTAAAAAAATTTGAGTAAAGGTCACCATTGAAAACAAACCGTGCATCATGGAAGTCGACTCTGGGTCATCACTATCCATGGTATCCTGGAAAACACTCAAGCAGCTGATTCCCAACACCCGACGCCAAGACCTCAGCAGTCAGAGACTCATACTGAAAGACAATCAAGGCAACCGGATCCCAGTCGCAGGTACCCGCCATTTCCAGGTCTCTTTCAAGGGACATAATGCAATTCTACCACTCACCATCGTAGACAGAGACCGGCCAAGTCTATTGGGCCTTCAGTGGTTCGCGCCATTAGGAATCGGAATGGCTGGCATCCATCATACTGAAGACGATGACTGGGAGGCAGCCCTCGTCCAGGACTTCCGAGAAGTGTTGCAAGTTATGGTGTGGTGATCTCGGTGTTAGTTCAGAGTAAACAGGTGTTGGTTCTAATTCTGGGTTCATGGCTTCCCCTCCCCCCCTGGTGTCAAAGTTAGGGTCAGGGGTGGAAGTTGTGGTTATGGGAGACCATTTTCTATTATAACGGATCATAAGCCACTACTTGGCATTCTGGCGGGCGACAAACCTACTCCACACATTCTCTCCCCCATAATGACGCGATGGTCGGAATTTCTCGCTGCCTACGACTATCAATTAAAGTATCGCCCGGGAAATCTATTCCTCACGCAGATGCCTTGAGTCACTCAGCACTACCCGAGCCACAGGAAGACCCAGCTCCCATGCTCCCAGTACTTCAAATAGAGACAATGCCCTCGCTTCCACTAACGGCCCAGAACATCGCCTTTGAAACCAAAAGAGACTCTTGTTTGGCATGAGTTCTTGGCTGGGTGGAGAGAGGATGGCCAGATTATGACCCTAAGGAAATATTTAAGCCATTTAAAAACAGACAAACGGAACTTTTTTCACAAAGAGGGTGCATCTTGTGGGGAGACCGGGTTGTTGTACCAGCTAGGTTACAAAAAAGGTCCTGCAAATGCTACACGATGGACACCCGGGCATCGTGCATATGAAAGCGCTGGCAAGAAGTTACACCTGGTGGCCAGGTATGGACAAACAAATCGAAACCTGGGTCGCCTCTTGTAACAGATGCCAGGAAAACCACTCAGCCCCACCAAAAGCTCCACCAGCAGAAAGGGAAACACCCAGGGGTCCCTGGTCTCGCATTCATATTGACTTTGCAGGACCTACGAGAGGCCACACTTTCTTAATAACTGTAGATGCATATTCTAACTGGCTTGAGGTCAATAAAATGAAAGCAACCACTACTGAGGCAGTCATCAAAAAACTGAACAGACTCTTTGCCACACACAGCCTACTAGATGTCCTGGTCTCTGACAATGGGCCCCAATTTACTGCCTTAGCCTTTGAACAGTATTTAGCGGAACGAGGCATCCGACACGCACTCACATCGCCGGCTCATCCTGCGGCGAATGGCAGGGCTGAACGAATGGTTCAGTTTACAAAGAAAACCCTGCAGAAAATGGAACAAGGTAACATCCACGATAAAGTCACTAGAATGCTGCTCCTGCAACACATCATACCAAACAGCACGACCAACAAGACCCCAGCTGAACTCCTGATGGCCAGGAAACTCAGATCACCACTAGACTGTTTGCACCCTGCCTACACCCTGGAAAAGCCCCTGGGTTCCAGCAGCAAGCACCGTGCCTTTAAGGTAGGAGACCTTGTATCTGTGAAAAACTTTTCTGGGGATCCCCTCTGGATTCCCACTCAAGTGACTCAACTTACGGGTCCCCGCTCCTACCGTCTACTCACCACTGATGGCAGAGCATGGAAACACCATATTGACCAGCTACGCTCCAGACTAACCACAACTTCCACCCCTGACCCTAATTTTGACACCAGGGGGGGAGGGGAAGCCATGAACCCAGAATTAGAACCAACACCTGTTTACTCTGAACTAACACTGAGATCACCACACCATAACTTGCAACACTTACCCGCTGTATTTGAGCCGGGGCAGTCGAACGCTTCGCCAAGAAATGGCAGCCAGGCAGGTTCAGCGAGCCCAGGGAGCCATGGCAGTAGCAACGAAGCTGAGGACTCTATCACCCCGGGAGCACCAGAGGAGAGCCCTAACCATGGCACCGGTTCACCGTTCCTGCTAGATCCAGCAAACAGTCCATCTGAACCCGAATTTGAACATGCACAATTGGAATTGTGCCTACCTGCGAGACTATATTACTCCACCCCTTAACGGAACCGAGAGGGGAGGGGTGTTCCAGACTAGCAGGCTCGAAAGCCTGCAACTCTGATTGGCCCGCGAATAGCCGATCATGATTGGTCACCATAGACTGATGCGATTGGCCAGTAAATGGGCTGCCGCGATTGGCCCTGCCAAGAGCGGCAAACTCAAATCGCCTTCATTGGCTGCCTAGCCGCAGCCAGCCCTATATAAGGGGCTGCTGCAGCTGGGATAGTTTGCTCAGATCTGAAGTCACTAATAAAGAGCTGTTGTTGCTATCTGAGTCTTGCCTCCGTTCTTGAACCATCCTCCCAGATCTAACAATTGTGTTCTGCAATAAATTGGTCTCAGATCCTGATGTGAAAGTGAAAATACAGCATTCTCTAGCCAGGGCTATCAAATTCCTGGCCCACGGGTCAGATGCATCATGCACTGGCCATGCCCATGCCTGGTTTAGCGAAGTGGGGGGAAGTCATAATATGTCATGTGATGACAACGTGACTATGAGTTTGGCATCCCTGGTGTAGCCACTTTTGGGTCATCTGCTATTTATCTATCATCTATCTGTCTGTCTGTCTGTCTGTCTATCTATCTATCTATCTATCTATCTATCTATCTATCTATCTATCAAATCTGTATGCTGTTCAACTCCCAGTGACACTGACTGGGTATGCCACTGCTGTTGTCCATTTGGGACCATCTTTTGGCAGGCTGCTATTTATATTTCCACAATGTCTGCTGACCTTTTTGGAACAGAGAACTAAATGTTGACAAACTATGAACCACTAAATAAATGCTAGATGTTTACTAATTGAAATGAAGAAGTGACCACAAAAGATACTCACTGAATAGATATTCAAATGTCAAATATGAAATTTCTCCCAAAACAATATGTAACTTGTCATATCTATAAACTCGTGTGATTGGACCATAGTCCTCTGCCCAGAAATGATGCCCAATTAAATTCACCAGACATGTGAAACTGTGACCTAAAACACTTTTATCAATGCACAACAGTAAAAAGATGACTCACAATCAATAAGTCATATATGGCTTTTTGTAGTTTATCATAGGAAACAAGCAAAGTGCTATAATTGGTTTCTCCTTAATGCTCAGGTGTATATAATTAATGCCTTCTCCCAATGTCTGAGGTGATTTCATTACTGTCTCAATTTCCTTCCTTAAGGGATGAAATTACCTCATATGGGAGACAGTATTTTAGGATGCTAATGAGATTTTCTAGATCATGGGTGGGCTAATTTTCTAGGTCGGGTGAGGTGGTCTTGAGGCTTTTCCCTGCAGAACATAATACCTGCTAATGTTTTGGATATTTTAAGCTTTAATACTTGCTGTTGTTCCTTTGTTTGCAAGACCACATCTTCTTGTAACTGTGGTCATGGTTGCTAAGATCACATCCTCTTGAAACTGTGACCAGAATTATTCTTAGTTTTCTCTTTCTTCAAACTTATATCTATAATCAGCATTCATAATAGAAGTTTGAAATCCAACACAGGTACTCTTCAACTTACGATGAAAATAGAGTGGTAATTTCCATTGTTAAGCAAGACAATTGTTAAGTCAATTTTGCCCCACTTTACAATATTTCTTGTCACAGTTATTAAGTGCAGTTGTTAAGTTAGTAACACAGTTGTTAGGTGAATTTGGCTTTCCTATTGATTTTGCTTGTCAAAAGTTGCAAAAGATGATCACATGACCTTGGGACATTGCAACCATAATAAATACAAACCAGTTGCCAAGCATCTGAATTTTGATCACATGACCACGGGGGTCTGCAATGGTGTAAGTGTAAAAAATGGCTATACGTCACTTTTTTTTCAGTGCCGCTGTAACTTTGAATGATCTAGTGAATGGTATAAATTGAGAACTATTTGTAGAGATTTTCTGCAATGGGGTGGGATATTAGAACAATAATGAAATTATAGTCTGGTTCACCATACTAGCTGGGGAAATCTGAGAGTTCATACATTTTAAAGTTTGAAAACACTGGTCTAGTTGATTTTATTATCTGTCTCCACAACATTGGTGGAAGCATACCAAGATTTATTTATCAAGCACATAAAACATATTGCTAAATAAAATTGGACAATTATTTGTAAACTATTATATTGTGAATGCTTTTTTCCCAGAGGTTCTACGTATGTATGTTTTGTGAGACGAAGCATTTGCACTAGAAGGAAATACCCAAAAGTCTGTTTGTCTTCCTCAATAGTTGCCCGTACATGTCCTCATGGGAGTCTGACAATCAATCAGAATACAAGCTCCAATTCAAATCCCAACAAAGGCTATAAAACCCAGACACTCTCAGCACCTCAGTCCCTTTCTTGATCTATTCCTTCACCTTGAAGCATGTGATCATCCTTCCTTTTCACTCTGGAGCTCCAGGCTATGTGGTCCTGTCCACCATTAAACCTTCCAAACAGCCTCCATGTTTCCAGTGTCTTTTTCCCCACTTAGAACTGAACACAGAAGGATGTTTCTTCCAACAGAACCTAGCCTTTTCAGAATTCAACTCCATGTCAGTAAGTGGATAGGGCAATCCAGTAGAAATATTCTGTACTTGGACTTTTAAAAGATTTTTACCTATAGCTTCTGAGAACAGTTTCTTGTAATTATTATGAACACTTGGTCAAAGCACAGAAAAAGGACAATAAACCTTTTGGAAGAGCATTGCACAATATTGGACTTCAGCTTAAAAAGCTCTTCTTCTACTAAACCCTCCCTCAAGTTGACTTTGCTTTTGTGATTACATGGACACACCCATGTAATTTTCTTGGCAACAATACAAAATTGATTTGCAGATATCTATTTCTGCACTACTCCCTCTCTGGATTATGCAAGCCTTTTTTCATTAGGGCCTAATAAGAATTTGGGATGATAACTTAAAATGTTAAATTTAAAAAATGCAGGTTGGGAAATAAATTATATGGTTATTTACAAAAGGCACTTGTAGATTAACTGAAAAGGATTCCTTGGATTGCCATCTTCAAAAAGCCTGCTTATCTGAGGAACAGGCAAGAATTGTTCACCATATTATATGACATGCAATACACTCATATCCTACAAATGTACTTTGGGAGCAGAGGTGGTATTCAGCAGGTTCTGACCAGTTCTGGAGAACCAGTAGTGGAAATTTTGAGTAGTTTGGCGAACTGGCAAATACCACCTCTGACTGGAGATTTTACAGTATCCTTCCCCTGCCATGCCAACCAAGCCATGCCCACAGAACCGGTAGTAAAAAAAAATTGAATCCCACCACTGTTTGGGAGCAACACCCAAAGTGGAAGGTCAGTCAAGAATTTTACATTCTCTATGATAAAATAGTTTACCACAAAGAAGACAATCTCTGTTTGATACTCTTCCAATGGACAGGAACGCTAATCTATCTCAATTGAGTTAATATTCCATGAAAGAAAAAGTTGTCTAACTAGTTCTGTCATAGCATGGAAAAGTATTTGAAGATAAGTTGGGCAACAGTTGGAATCAACAGCATGGATGCTGAGTAGTCAGGGATGACCTAATTTCTTAGGTTGCTAATGAAAATACAAATTCCAAAAACTGAACCTAGCCCTTTTAAAAATTAAAACCTATGGTAATCAAAACATCGTGGGCTGTTCCCTGATACTACTAGATGATATCCTTAGGGCTCGCTGCTTTAGAAGAGTGGGGAAAATTCTCAGGGATTACTCATACCCCGGTCAGCACTTCTTCACTCTCCTACCACTGGGTAGGAGATATAGAAGCACAGCCAGCCACACCAACAGGCTGAAGAACAGTTTCTACCCATGGGCTATCAGACTTTTTAATGGAAAATAACTTCATCTCAACATAGTATGATAGACTTGCAGGGCCAGCGTGATGTGCAACAAGGTCACTTAATGTAATAAGATTGGGATTGGGTTAGGGACTTCTGTCCTCACTGTGAGTGGTGTTGTGGGGATGCACGAAGGGAGGCTCAGCCAATCTCATTGTACATATGTTGTGCTCTGACAATAATGGTAGTAACAATTAACAATAATAATGATTAGTAAAAGTATAATTCTGAAATTCTTAACAATTTTTTTTCTGTTCAACTTTCTTCAATTCTTGGAGACAAAACTTCTGGACAAGTCCCTGCAGTTTTCTTGGTGAAGTTATTTTCAGAAGTGGTTTGCTATAGTGCCTTTTTCCCAAGGTTGGGAGAAAGCTCAAAATTACCAGGTTTCTTGGTGCCTAAAGCAGGACTAGAACTCAGAATCTCCCAGTTTCTAGAATCTAGCCTGACGTCTTAATCACTATACCAAACTGATTCTGTTACCATATTTATGTAGAAGTAAATCTAACTGAACATAATGGTAATTTTTTTTGAGCAAAGAATCCTATTTTATATTAGTAGTAACAGTGTAGTTTTAGATGTTTTAGTTCTTATTAAATCTTAAAGAGGCTGTAGTCTCACTATTCATATGCCCATAAGTATCCGATACGATAATAATATAAGCTAAAATGTGATTGACTAATTTGTAGTTTAGTTAGCAAGTATTGTTAAATCACCTTGCAAACGCTAAAAGCCATAGTTGATGAATAGTACAAAACTTTTTCCATTCAAGGAT